GCTAAAACAAAACAATTCCTGAACATGCAAGCAGTATATAAAATAAGTAAAACTAAAGATGCTTGATATACAGTTAAATCTCGTTATCACACACCTGATGGGACCAAGAAAATACTTCAAGATTTCTGAGGGTTTGAGATACCCAGGGTAAAATACTTAAGGAATAAGCAACTGGGACTTCCAAATCACTTTGACATATCTATGGTATTCGAGATATCAGTGTTCGAGATACTGAAGTTCAACTGTATATGAAAGAAGAGAAAATTTCATGTTCAAAACCATTTTTAGTTTCATGTTATTTATGAAATTTAAAGAATTGAATTGTTTGATGTGTGCATACCCTGAATTTTGTTAATACCCTACTTTTACTTTCATTTTCAGATGTTTCTGGAAACATGCATTTTGCCAAAAAAGGAATCTGACATGTAACCTTGAGGTTTTAACCAGTGAGAGAGAATTTGACAAGCTTTTATTTGAGGGGTGTGCCATCTTTCAACAAAAATTAGGGGAGAAGCTGTGAGAAAACGTTTATATTGTTGCCTATGGGAAATGTATTAGCAAACTGTACTCAATTAGCAAGATAACTGTAGGTTGTTCAGTAGCAAAAAAGTGTTTGTAAGCAAAGTCTCTCACTTTCCTGACAGTTGTGAATCAAATTTGCACTACACTATTGGTTAAGGAAATATTTTCTATCAATAGGTTATTTGTTACAGGCAAAAACATTTACAGTTAGAGCACAAATAGTAAAATTTACATATCGCTTTTTAACCTGACTCAAAGCTGTTCTCTATGTACAGTATTTAATATTTTTTTTAGCTTGTTTTGTAATTTAATGATTTTACAAAATCACATTACATAAATAACTTTAATCAAATTTACACAATCAGTAATATGATCTCACTTTGGTGATTAGTGTAATATGTATAGGCGGGGGCCATGGTGTCTAAAATTTTTGATTGGCACCTAAAAATTTTCTTTAAGTCGCCAAATCGGTGACCATTTTAAATTGACTTGGTGGTCGTCGGATTCTGGAAATTTTAACATTTTTAAAAATATTTCTGAAAAAGTGAATAGAAATTTAAAAGAAGAGGAAATTATTTCTAGCAATGGACATGTCATGTTTTCTTAGTCATGTCATGGGTCCCTTTATTGATTACTATTAACTTTTAAAGTGGGCGCCTTAAAAAAAATTGCCTGGTGACTAAAAATTTGCATTGGTGACTAAATTTTTTTGATAAGGAGCCAGCTACCACCTAAATTTTAGAGGCCACTTAGAGGCAAATAGGTAATATCAAATTTAGCAGTGATGATCATTTAAATTGAGACTCTACTTGCTTGGGTAAATTCAAAGCTCTTCAGGGCAATTATTACCATGGCCATAAAAACAGAATATAAACAATAGGCCCATGGGCCACATCGCTCAACTGAGCACATTGGCTAGGAAAAAAGCATGAATCAGTTCAGTACTGAAAAGTTTACATATGGGGGGGGGGGGGGGGGGTTAAACTACCTGAGGATGCTTCCATATCAATAAAACAAATGGCTTTGGTGTTCTTGAGCAACAGATTTTAAACATTTTTTCCTAGATATATTCCTTTGTAAAAATTTGATCCCCCATTGTGGCCCCTTCCTACCCCCGGGGGTCATGATTTGAACAAACTTGAATCTACACTACCTGTGGATGCTTCAATATCAATATGACTTAACATGGCTTTTCTGTTCTTGAAATGAAGATTTTTTCCTATATATTCCTGTGTAAAACTTTGATCCCCCATTGTGACCCCACCGTACCACCAGGGGTCATGATTTGAACAAACTTGAACCTACACTATAAGGTTCCAACTTTTTTTGCCCAGTGGTACTTGAGAAGAAGATTTTTAAAATATGCTACCAAATTTTCACTACCGGTATTTCTGAATTATCTCCCCTTGAATGAAGGTGTGCCCTTTCATTTGAACAAACTTGAATCCCCTTTACCCAAGAATGCTTTTTGGCAAGTTTGGTTAAAATTGGCACAGTGGTTTTGGAGAAGTTGAAAATGTGAAAAGTTTACAGACAGACGGTCAACAGCTAGACAGATGGACTACAGACAAAATGTGATCAGAAAAGCTCACTTAAACTTAGGTGAACTAAAAACTACATCAAATTGAAACATGCTGTTTATCTTAAGTGTGTTATGTAGTGAAGTATTTAATCACACACAATAAAACATATTAATATGTTTATTAATATATATATTAATATATGCAGCATTATTTGTTTTTGCCATTGGTAAGAAAAACCTTATTATTACAAGAGGCCCAAGGGCCTTAACGGTCACCTGAGTATAATACAACAATTTAGAGGATCCATAGAGTATAAAATGAACTGAAAGGTGAAGCTTTGTTGCCCAAAAGCAAGAAAAATAGGGTGATCAGGATCAACAGAATAATTAGTCTAGTATTCATTAACAGTTCATAAATTAGGTTCTAATCTGTTCCCCATTCATCACTATCACCATACAGTATATTAACAAACTATCAGTGCTTCTGTACCATTTTAATTCCTTGTTGACATCTCTTGGTCTCTCTTGGTCTTTGATGAACATTTAAATAGCCAAGTTATTTTTGTCTCATTTTTATTTATCTATTACTTACAAGTCTATCTGATCATTAAAACTATGAAAGTACTTTTTGTATTATACAATAAAAATTCTTGCATAATTCTCTTTTTCTATTAACCTTTCAAGTACATTATTTACAGTGATTAATTATCAAAAGTAAATGGCAAAGGGGAATAACTCCTCTCATTAGAATACAAATTAATAGAGCCCTGGCCAGGACCAGAACATTTGACCAAATGGTCCAGATATTCAAAAATCTGGTAAAAATACTATTCCTTATTCAAACTTTTACTCTTTTTGCCTCTGATATGCCCAGGTGCAGAGAAGATTTTTAAAGAAATAATGCATTTTTATTACAGATTCACTATATTATCAATAGCCCCCCCCCCCCCTTCCACAGCAAGAAACATTAGAGCCTCTCACCCTGGGACCAGAAGTTTGCTCATCATAAGTAATCACTTTGTTTATCTGCTTAACACTAAGAGCAGACAGGATTATTTAATAGAATTAATGCATTTTTTCTATATTATCAAGAGCCCCACCCTTACACCAGCACATCAGACCCAGGGATCACGCAATTAACTACTCTGGAAGAAGCACTCTTGCTGATCATAACTAAACACTTAGCTTCTTTGCTTTTTAATCAGGAGCAGAAAAGAATATTTTCAAAGAAATTTTGCTTTTTCACTATATAATCAATAGAGCCCCCCCCCCCCCCCTTTTCACCAGAACCCTTGACCCTGGGGCCATGAAATTCAAAATTTTGGAAGAGGCATCCTTGCGTATCATAACAATGTACTTTATTTGTTTAAATAATACCCAGGGGCAGAGAAGAAGATTTTCAAAGAAATAATTCACCTTCACGATAGGATCTATGCAGCCCCACCCTAACACCAGAACCGTTGATCCTTGGGCCATGAATTTCACAATTTTGGAAGAGGCATCCTTGCTTATCATAACAATGTACTTAGTTTGTTTAAATAATACCCAGGAGCAGAGAAGAAGATTTTTAAAGCATAAATGCATTTACACTATATAATAAATAGAGCCCAGCCCTAACACCAGAATCCCTGATCCAGGGGCCATGAAATTCATAATTTTGGAAGAGGCATCCTTGCTTATCATAACTATGTATTTAATTTGTTTAAATAATACCCAGGAGCAGAGAAGAAGATTTTTAAAGCATAAATGCACTTTCACTATAAGATCTATATAGCCCCGCCCGAGCACTAGAACCCCTGACCCTGGGGCCATGAATTTCACAATTTTGGTAGAGTCACTCTTGCTTATCATAACTATGTATTTAATTTGTTTAAATAATACCCAGGAGTAGAGAAGAAGATTTTCAAAGAAATAATGCACTTTCACTATATGATCTATATAGCCCCGCCCTAACACCAGAACCCCTGACCCTGGGGCCATGAATTTCACAATTTTGGTAGAGTCACTCTTGCTTATCATAACTATGTATTTAATTTGTTTAAATAATACCCAGGAGCAGAGAAGAAGATTTTCAAAGAAATAATGCACTTTCACTATATGATCTATATAGCCCCGCCCTAGCACCAGAACCCCTGACCCTGGGGCCATGAATTTCACAATTTTGGTAGAGGGCTCAATGCTTATTACAATCATGCCAACAGTTTGACTGCTTGATGTCAAGGAGTAAAGAAGATTTTTAAAGATTGCATTAATTTTGGTAGTTTTAGCCCCACCCCTCAGGCCCCAGGGGGGCAGGGACCATGAAATTCATAATTTTTGTTCCCCTTCACCCATAGATACTACATACCAAATTTGGTTGAAATTGGTTAAGCGGTTCTAGAGAAGAAGTTAAAAATGTTCAAAAGTTAACGCACAAAGGACGCCGCACGCCGACGGACGAAAACGGATAGCAATAGGTCACCTGAGTGACTCAGGTGACTTAAAAACCTAGGCAGTTCAGGTATCTACAGATGCTTCACCTATGCGAACGATTTTGACTGAGAATCAAAGCCTTCAGATAAATGAGGCTCCACTGTATACCAAAACTGATTAGAACTGGTTTAACGGTTTATGAGAAGAAGCATAAAATGTTCAAAAGTGTATGACTGATGAACAAAGAAGGACAAAAACAGATAGCAATAGGTCACCTGAGTGTCTCAAGTGACCTTAAAATGGACACACTTTGAAAAGGGATCCATTATTATTTGTGATATCCATTGTTTACTGTCAATAATGTAATGGTATAGAACCATTCAGAATTAACTTTGATGTCACACTTGGATACTGAGAAAGTTCTTATCCTCCAACAATGCTAGATCACCTACATGTATCTTTTTAAAAGATAAGCTTGTATTGCATCTAAACCAATAAAATTTCAGTATCTAACATGAAAGGATAATAAATCAAATGTACTTACATTGTTTATTTAATGCTGCTTGCATTCTTCTCTTAAGGCGTTCTTGTGGTGTGAGTTTCATGACCTACAAACAGTTTGCACTCATACAATACATGAACTGCAAAATTGAAGACTATATACTTCTGTAAACCTTACAATCACTAAAAAAATTGAAGTGGAAATTTTAACAATTCTTTGATTAAACACAAAAAAAATTCAACATATGGTGTAATTCATATACACGTTATTGTATATGATACGATTCATATGCTTTCAACTGTACAATTGATTTTTGAAATGATATATGCTTTTGATGTCAGTAACCTAATAAACCAGATTTAAAAAGTACACGTCGGGTTCATATAGCCCAGGGTGATTTCCTGGGAAACAACCTCAGCATAATAAAACAGATATAAAATTCCATGATTGTATAGCCAAAGGTCTTTTACCATAGAACTGCTGGCAATTTTGCACAAAATCTACATATTCATTTTAAAACATATGAATTTAAGAAAACCTTTTTAAACAAGAGCCCCATGGGCCACAACACTCACCTGAGTCAATATGGCCCTGCTGTTCTTCATCAGCAGATTTCTTCCCTATATATTCCTATGTAACACTTTGATTCCCTGTTGTGACCCTGCCCTTCTCCAGGTGATATGATATGAACAACCTTGAATCAAAACTATCTGAGGATGCTTCCATATTCATATGACTAATCTTGGCTTTACTGTTCTGACAAGAAGATTTTTAAAGATGTGGCCCCACCCTAACCCTGGGGTCATGATTTGAACAAACTTGAATCTGCACTACCTGAGGATGCTTCAATAAGACTAATCATGGCTTTGCTGTTCTTGTGAAAATTTTTAATCATGGCTTTGCTGTTTGTCATCAGATTTTTAAAGATTTCTTCAAATATATACTGAAATGCAAAAGAAATGCAACATCCTATTTTAGAGGGAAATATTATATATAGGATATAATTTTGTATCTAAAAAGTAAGGATATCTTCAACTTTGTAAATATCGGTAATTTAACGGTTGAATGATTTTCATACCATTACCGGAAGTTAAGTTTGAATCCGCTAACAGAAATAAAAAATGTATGTTTAACAAAACATTTGGACACAAAAGGCCCAAGGGCCTTGAATCACTCTTCTGATAAACTGTACAACCTGTCACTTCTATTTGAAGCATCTAAGTATCCTGTATATTTAGATACAGCCTTGAAATTCCATACATAGGTCATCATGACCTACTGAGGACCCAAGATACATCAACTAACTAAGTTTGATGATTCTAAGCCAATTAATACCTAAAATATTTAATCATAACCATAAAATTTCAAAAGTAAGTCACAGTGACCTACTTTTCAGATGACATACTTTGAGGACCCAAGATTCATCAACTGACAAAGTTTGATGATTCTAAACCAATTAGTACCTGATATATTTAAATATAGCCATAAAATTTCAGAAGTAGGTCATGGTGACCTATTTTTCAGTTGACTTTTTTTGAGGACCCAAGATGCATCAACATACAAAGTTTTTTGATCATAGGCCTTTTAAAAATGTCCAAATTATGTCTCTAAAACGTTTTGAAATCGAATGCCTGCAAAGTTCAAAAAGTAGGTCACTGTAACCTACTTTATAATAAATATGTTTTATGGCCCCAAGATGCATCATCTTACAAGATTTAATGATTCTAAACCTCTCAGTATTCGAATTAATGACCTTAATTGTTTTGAAAAAGATTAGCCAAATTGTCAAGGTGACATACTTTTTAGGTGACGTACTTGAGGACCTAAGATACATCAACTGACAAAGTTTGATGATCATAGGCCTTAAATTGTTCAAAATGTGCCTCTAAATCATTTTGAAAAAGAATGGCCGCAAAATTTAAAAAGTAGGTCACTGTGACCTACTTTTGAGTCAACATGATATGAGGTCCTCAGATGCATCAACTGACAAGATTTGAAGATCCTAGTCTGTAAAGTAAGCAAAATATCAACATTTTAATAAAATGTAATTTTTGATCAACTTTGAAGTGACCTTGAGACCACGTCCTTTGCCCCAGGGTGATGCCTTGAACAATTTTGAATCTACAACATATCCTCATCCTTTTGTGTAAGTTCGGTGATAATCTGCCCAATGGTTCTTGAGAAGAAAATTTTTTAGCAACCAGTACTTTTCATTTTATTTACCGAATTATCTCCCCTTGTTTAAGGGTCACAACCCTAGTTTTAACTTAAAAAACGGAGCCCTTGGGCTGAGGATACCCTGTGACAAATTTGACAATGATTGGCCAAGGGGTTCTTGGGTCATGGCCCATATTCTAACAAGAGACCCAGGGGCCACATTGCTCACCTAAGCACTGTGGCTAGGAAAAAGCAAAAATCAGTTTAGTATTGAAAATCTTAAGTGCATAAGTTTTCCTGATCTACCCCTAAAAAGGAGTGCGGAGGGAGGTGGGAGGGGGGGTGGTATGAATTGAACAAAATTGAATCTACACTAACTAAGGATGCTTACATATTTTTTTGACTAACTGTGACTTTTTTCCCTACAGGTTTGAACTTTCATTGTGGCCCCACCCTACCCCTGAGGGTAATTAATTTGAACAAACTTAAACCTACACTATCTGAGGATGCTTCCATATAAATATGACGAACCATGGCTTTGCTGTTCTTGTTAAGAAGATTTTTCCTATATATTCCTTTGTAAAACTTTAATCATACGTTGTGGTCCCACCCTACCCCTGGGGGTCATGATTTGAACAAATTTGAATCTACACCACCTGAGGATACTTCCATATAAATATGACCAATCATAGCTTTGCTGTTCTTGAGAAGAAGATTTTTGAAGATTTTTCCTATATCCTCCTATGTTAAACTTTGATCGTCCATTGTGGCTCCAACCGACCCCCGGGGGTCATGATTTAAATAAACTTGAATCTACACTACCTGAGGATACTTTCACATAAATATAACCAATCATTGCTTTGCTGTTCTCAAGAAGAAGATTTTTACAAGATTTTTCCTATATATTCCTTTGTAAAACTTTGATAGTCCATTGTGGCCCCACCCTACCCCTGGGGGTCATGGTTTGAACAAATCTACACTACCTGACAATGATTTCATATGAGTTTCATCTTTCCTGGCCCATTGGTTCTTGAGAAGAAGATTTTTCAATGATGCCATTAATATTTCGCTATTTCGTTATTATCTCCCCTTGGAGGAGAGCGTGGCCCTTTATTTGAACAAATTTGAATCCCCTTTACCCAAGGATACTCTGTGCCAAGTTTGGTTGAAATTGGTCTAGTAGTTCTTGAGAAGAAGATGAAAATCTGAAAAGTTTACAACAATGACGACAACAACGCCATCAACGACAGACAACAGACAAATTTCGATCAGAAAAGCTCACTTGAGCCTTCGGCTCAGGTGAGCTAAAAAGTTTACGCACACTGCACAAATGGCCATAGCATTAGCTCTTTGAGCCTTTGGCTTAGAAGAGCTAATAATATGGGGTTTTAAGGGTTTGCATCTGTTCATCATAAGTAATGCAGCAATATTCCGAAAAATGAATTTTCCTTTCTTTTCTGCAAGTGATGCCAAGGCTTCCTGAAAATGATTTAAGTACGCATTTCCAAATGCTCTAGTGGGAAAATATCAAAATAAAGGTGATGGAGAGTTGCAGATGTAAATATGCACATCATGCCTCAATAGGCTCTTATGTATCATTAGCATGAATGACAGTCCTTGGACGGGAAGTCCAAGGGTTACTACACTGCGCTAGGCTAGAGAAAATTCGACCTCCTCATCTGAAAAAAAGACATTTAAAACTGGCAAAGAATATTTCTTTCGCTCAGATCTCGAGACTGATGAACCTATTGCATCGTAGAAATCAACCTACAATTGTTGTGCTTGGCAGCCTTGCACGCTGTACTTGAATGGCTGGGGTGGTGGTGTTTTAACAGTCATGTGTTACTTTCTAAAGTTAAAAGATAATCCTTTAACATTTTTATCAAATCTGTGATGTTTTTAAATCGAGTTTTTCCTTACTGTATTTATTTTTGAAAATCATTAGATAAAAAATTCAAATATTTGTAGATTACTGCTTGTTGCTTTTCTTTTGCGTTTTAGTATATTTTTATGTAAAACTCTGATGCCTCATTATGGCTCCACCCTAACCCCTGGGGTCATGATTTGAACAAATAGAATTTACACTATGTAATGAAGTTTTCACTTAAGTTATAACTTTTCTGGCCAACTGATTCTGAGTAGATTTCAAAAAGATGCCACCAAATTTTCACTAATTATTATCTCCCCTAGAAAGAGGCCCTTCATTTGAACAAACTTGAATTCCCTTTATCCAAGGATGCTTTGTGGCAAGTTTGGTTAAATTGCTCAGTGGTTCTTGAAAAGAAGTCGAAAATGTGAAAAGTTTACTGATGGATAAGATCAGAAAAGCTCACTTAAGCTGTCAGCTCAGGTGAGGTAAAACTAAAATGATTTTTTTTTCTTGAAATTTACATGGACACAATGCTTATTAGAACAAGATGTGTTTGTGAAACACTGATGCCCCCGTATAGCAACTTATAACAAAGGTTAAACTTTCTCAAATGCAAATCAAATACGTTGGTACCCAAAGTTATGTCTTGTCTCGAAGAATAAACCTGTGAAGTATGAGTGCCCTAGCAGCAACCATTGAAAAGTTATGGCCAAGGTTAAAGTTTTTTAAAAGTAGGTCAAATTCTAAGGTCAAGTTCAAAGGGTCAACGTTGTTGGTATCTGAAGGAAGGTCTTGTCATAAGGATTACTTATGTGAAATATGAAAGCCCTAGCACCAACCGTTCAAAAGTTATGGCCAAGGTTAAAGTTTTTTAAAAGTTAGTCAAACTCCAAGGTCAAGGTCAAAGATGTTGGTATTCATAGGAAGGTCTTGTCACAAGGATTACATATGTGAAGTATGAAAGCCCTAGCACCAACCATTCAAAAGTTATGGCCAAGGTTAAAGTTTTTCAAAAGTAGGTCAAACTCCAAGGTCAAGGTCAAAGGGTCAAAGATGTTGAAATTCAAAGGAAGGTCTTGCCACAAGGATTATTTATGTGAAGTATGAAAGCCCTAGTACCAACCGTTCAAAAGTTATGGCCAAGGTTAAAGTTTTTTAAAAGTAGGTCAAATTCTAAGGTCAAGGTCAAAGGGTCAAAGTTGTTGGTATCTGAAGGAAGGTCTTGTCATAAGGATTACTTATGTGAAATATGAAAGCCCTAGCACCAACCGTTCAAAAGTTATGGCCAAGGTTAAAGTTTTTTAAAAGTTAGTCAAACTCCAAGGTCAAGGTCAAAGATGTTGGTATTCATAGGAAGGTCTTGTCACAAGGATTACATATGTGAAGTATGAAAGCCCTAGCACCAACCATTCAAAAGTTATGGCCAAGGTTAAAGTTTTTCAAAAGTAGGTCAAACTCCAAGGTCAAGGTCAAAGGGTCAAAGATGTTGAAATTCAAAGGAAGGTCTTGCCACAAGGATTATTTATGTGAAGTATGAAAGCCCTAGTACCAACCGTTCAAAAGTTATGGCCAAGGTTAAAGTTTTTTAAAAGTAGGTCAAATTCTAAGGTCAAGGTCAAAGGGTCAAAGTTGTTGGTATCCGAAGGAAGGTCTTGTCACAAGGATTACACATGTGAAGTATGAAAGCCCTAGCTCTAATTGTTCAAAAAGTTATGGCCAAGGTTAAAGTCTCATAAAATTTTGCAAAACTGGGTCAAACTCCAAGGTCAAGGTCAAAAGGTCAAATATGGTGGTACCCAAAGAAAGGTCTTGTCACGTGTGTGAAATATGAAAGCCATAGCTCCAACCAATCAAAAGTTATGGGCAAGGTTAAAGTTCTTGTGGACAAACAGACACACAGACGGACGGACAGGGCAAGAACTATATACCCCCAAATCTTCGATACGGGGGCATAAAAAGTGAATACATGTATATGGTTTAATTTTCTTTTATAAAAAATTGCATAATTGATATTTTGCAAATATTTAGAAAATATAACACAATCCACAAAAATGTCATAACTAGAATAAGATGTATGTTTAAATTTTTTTTCAAAATATGAGAAAACATTAGGTAATCAAGATTTATACAGAACACCTCAACAAATATTTTAAGTAAGTCAAATGTTCTGCTAGTGTGCATCCCTAGGTGCAACATTTATGCAAATGAATGCTTACAGTTACTGGGGAATGGACCTGCTCTAAAAACTTTAACATGTTAACTCATCTGAAAAATGTAGGTCAGATCCAGCAGCTGAAGCAAGTCAGGTAACTTTCATCCCTACATGAATCATCATGCAAGTTTGGCCAGGTTGGGCTTATAGTTACTTGGGAATGGACCATCTCCAAAAACTCTTAACCTGTCCAGAAAATGTAGATCAGATCCAGCATTGGAAGCATGTTTGGTAATGTGCATCCCTTAATGCATCCTACATGCAAGTTTGGTCACCACAGGACTTATAGTTCTTTAGAATGAACCTGCTCCAAGAACTTTAACCTGGTAGCTCATTAAGAAAATGTCGGTTGATCCAGAATCCAAAGCAAATTTTGTCGCTTTCATCCCTATATGAATCATACATGGCAGTTTGGTCCAGGTTGGGCTTACAATTCTTGGGAATCAACCTGCTTCAAAAATTAAAGCAATCATTCATATTATAATGCTATATATTCAAACAGTAAACTATACAGTGATGCTCCTCATGTGAACAAACATCAAATAACAATTTTTATTTTAAACTATCCATATATTTGATGTTTTGTTTCTTACACTTAATGAGAGCTAATAAAAGGAATGGTTTGGAATCATGAAGAGTTTTTGGGTAGTTCTGATAAAAAGAAGTTGAGATGTTCAAAATAATGCCGAAGAGCTCTTAAGCATCCAAATGTCTTGCTGTCTATTGTGAAGAGTTTAGTTAATTTGAAGTCACAGTTTTTTAATGACATTAATGTCCAGGTACTATGTCAGCAAAACAATAATTTGAATATCATTTTCCCATCTGTAATCCGAAGTAATATGGGCTCTGTATATGAGGGCACTGTCATCTTGTTAAAATGAACCAAAATGTCTAACCATATAAAGTATAAAAATCTAGGTCTGATCCAGCAGCTAAAGCAAATCACGTAGTGTTTAGATGCACCATACATGCATGTTTGGCACGGGTAGGGCTTAGTTATAGGGGAATGAACCTGCTCCAAAAACTTGAACCTGGTTACTCATCTGGAAAATGCTATGTTAGATCCAGCATCAGAAACAAATCTGGTACCTTTAATCCTTAGAATTAATTCTATCAACTCTAGAACCATGCCATATCAAAGCTTAAAAATAAAAGTTTATATGGAAGAAAAAGTGAAATGAAAAACAAACTTGTTTTCATGCTGTGGCTATTATTATTTTTTTGAAATATCTGTTTTATTATGATAAGGTGGTCCTCCAGAAAAACATCATCCGCTATACGAACCCAGAATTTTAAATTCATTTTATTATGTTACAGCTGTGCGGCTCTCGAAATGCCTGGATGTGGAAAGGATATAAGAAATGATGTAAATTAAAAATGCCAAATCAGGCAATAGGGGTTGTGAAAACAATTGTTAAGAAAGGACAGTAATTTTATTCACATTTAATCATCCAAGTTTTAACACTTCAATTGATAAGTTTGAAAATAAAACATAATGTTTATAAGGCTTATCCCTATGTGGATAATATTACTGCTGCAAAATGAAAGCTGTAGAGCAGTGAACTTTAGAAATGGATTTTTTTTTCTTTTAAACACTCAAACACCCAAAATGTTATTGATCTTACTGACTTGAGACGTGGCCAAGGATGTTTTACCCACACCAGATCCAGATCTACAAGATAAACAAAATACCTTTTTTAAATAATATTTTAAAAAAAACCCATTTGTTAGACTTGTCATAAATGAAATAGTTTACTGTAAACCAACTTTTCTTCGCGTGCAAGAAATGTCCATGAGTTTCGCAACATACTTTAACTCGCAAATATTAATAGCCGCGAACCATTTTCATGGAGAATATTTCCTCAGTTGCGATAATTAATCGTTGTGGACTGATTTCAAACTGACAAATCGTGCATAAAAGATGTCACAAATAATAGTTGGTTTACAGTATACCAATACGTGTGGTACTTTGTAATTGTTGTTTTTCACTGTAACTTATGTATCTATACTCAAAAAATTTATCAATATTGCTCTGAAACAATTTAAATCAATGAAAGATGGATATCAAACCTATCAATAACAGTCTAATGACTAAAGTACCAATATTGTATCCTTTTCTACACACTTTACTCAAGTTTTCTTGAAATAATTTCAAGATCTTACTTTTGAATGCTTGATTTGCCTTTCCGATCAGACTCTGAATCACTGCTAGAAGCTGAAGATGACAGGCTCCTCCTACGGTATCGTTTTATTACAGGTTTATCAGGACTTGTAGACCTAGAACTAGAAAACAGAAATTTGATGTGCAAACCATTGCTTGGCTTAAAATCAATCAAAAATTTTAAAATCTGTAAAAAAAAAATCACTCTTTTATATGATTGGCCATGTCATGTTAAAACTGGAGAAATTCTGAAATGTTTAAATGGTATGTATTATTTCTACAAAGATTGAAAAACATGAATAGTTTTGGAGATTATCTCTGGATTAAAAAAAATTCTAAAGACACCTAAAAATGGACATAGTGATGCAGGTTTACCCTCTACCCCAGCTTCAAAAGGGGGTGGGGGGAGGGGGAAGGGGATATAAATATTTTAGGTAGTTTATTTGCCTATACTGATGATAAATACTCACTTTATTATAATCAATGAAGCTTAATGTTAAATGTCAGAGAAGTATCTGCACTTTATTTATTATTTACATATTTTTATCATTTCACATTAGGGTGAATCAAAAAATAATGACCAGTAAATTGAATTCTTTTGAAAAAATTCAGCTTGCCATAAATATTTTTCAATTAAAACACAACATTGTATATACATTCCAGTTAAAATTTCCGAAATTACAATAGAATTCAAACATAGGTAATCAAAGATTACGAAGCTCACCTCGACGAATGTTATCTACATGCAAATTTCACATCATATTTTTTTTCTAGTTAGGGTACATCCCAAGATCAATATCCATGCAAGTTTGATTTAATTATAGACCTGCTCAAAAAACTTTTGACCTGTTTAGTAATCAAGAAAATTTTGGTCAGTTCCAACATCCAAAGCAAGTCTGGAAGTTTTCATCCTTAGATGCACCATCTATGCAAGTTTAATCATAACAGGCCATAATATTATATAGCTACTCCAAAAAAATTACCCTGGTCACTCATCTGGAAAATGTATGTCAGATTCAGAATCCAAGGCAAGTCTGGAAGTGTCCATCCCTAGATACATCATCCATGCTAATTTGGTTAAAATATGGCTAAAATTCACTCATGTGGAAAATCTAGGTCAGATCCAGCATTTGAAGCAGGTTGGTTAGTGTACATCCCTAGATGCATCATCCATGAAAGTTTGGTCAAGGTAGGGCTTATAGCTACTTGGGAACAAGACTACTCCTAAATCTAAACCTGGTCTCACAAGTGGAAAATCTAGGTCAGATCCAGCATCCGAAGCAAGTGTGGTAGTGTCCATCCCTGGATGCATCATCCATGCAAGTTTGGTCCGGGTAGGGCTCATAGTTACTTACGAATGGACCTGCTCCTAAAACTTTAACCTGGTCACTCATCTGGAAAATCTAGGTCAGATCCAGCATCCGAAGCAAGTGTGGTAGTGTCCATCCCTAGATGCATCATCCATGAAAGTTTGGTCCAGGTAGGGCTTATAGTTACTTGGGAATGGACCTGCTCCTAAAACTTTAACCTGGTCACTCATCCGGAAAATCTAGGTCAGATCCAGCATCCGAAGCAAGTGTGGTAGTGTCCATCCCTAGATGCATCATCCATGCAAGTTTGGTCCGGGTAGGGCTTATAGTTACTTACGAATGGACCTGCTCCTAAAACTTTAACCTGGGACGCCGACGCTAACGCCGACGGTATAGCATAAGCTCATCTCGACTTCGTCGAGATGAGCTAAAAATGCATAATAAAAAAGTCTCAGAATGTAATAGACCTTCCTTTGACAAGAGGCCCATGGGCCACAATGCTCACCTGAGTTACTGTGGCCCTGCTGTTCTTCACCTGATTTCCCCATTGTAATACCTATTGTGGCCCCACCCTACCCCCAGGGGTCATGATTTGAATAATTTAGAATCTACACTACCCTTGGATGCTTCCACTTAAGTTTCAGCTTTTCTGGCCCAGTGGTTCTTGTGAAGTAGATTTTTCCTATAAATTTTAATGTAAAACTTAGATTCCTTCTTGTGGCCCCATCCTACCCCCAGGGGTTATGATTTGAATAATTTAGAATCTACACTTCCATAAAAGTTTCAGCTTTTCTGACCCAGTGGTTCTTGAGATTTTTTAATGACCCCACCCTATCTTTGTCTTTTCTTGATTATCTCCCCTATGAAGGAGGCTTGGCCCTTAAACTTCCCTTTACCCAAGGATACTTTGTACCAATTTTGGTTAATATTGGCCCAGTGGTTCTTGAGAAGAAGTTGAAAATGTGAAAAGTTAACAGAAGGACGGACAGATGGACAATGGGAGATCAGAAAAGCTCACATGAGCTTTCAGCTCAGGTGAGCTAAAAAATAGAATACAGTGGACCTTCAGACATCGGGACGCCAGATATCTGGACGCTTCAGTTTCCGGACAATTTTTCATGGGAATGAAATTTTTTAACGTTATTTTGTCTTGTGGCCCTGCCCTACCCCCAGGGGTCATGACTTTAACAAACTTGAATCTACACTACCTGAGGATGCTTCCACATAAATATGACCAATCAGGGCTTTGCTGTTCCTCAGAAGAAGATTTTTAAAGATTCTTCCTATACATTTCTATGTAAAACTTTGATCCTCCATTGTGGCCCTGCCCTACCCCCGGGGGTCATGATTTGAACAAACTTGAATCTACACTACCTGAGGATGCTTCGATATAAATATGACTCATCATGGCTTTGCTGTTCTTGAGAAGAAGATTTTTAAAGATTTTTCTTATATACATGTATTTCTATGTAAAACTTCGATCCTCCATTGTGGCCCTGCCCTACCCACGGGGGTCATGATTTGAACAAACTTTAATCTACACTACCTGAGGATGCTTCGATATAAATATGACTCATCATGGCTTTGCTGTTCTTGACAAGAAGATTTTTAAAGATTTTTCCGATATATTTCTATGTAAAACTTTGATCCTCCATTGTGGCCCCGTCCTACCCCCATGTAGCTGCAGATCTGTAGCTCTCCGAAAAAAAATATATTGACAGACCGGTCTGTCAATATATTTTTTTGCGGAGCGCTACAGATCTGCAGCTAACCCCCAGGGGTCATGATTTGAACAAACTTGAATCTACACTACCTGAGGATGTTTCTACATGAGTTTCATCTTTCCTTGCTCTGTGGTTCTTGAGAAGAAGATTTTTAAAAGATGCTATTAATTTTTCACTAATTCTTAGTTATCTCCCCTTGGAAGAGGGTGTGGCCCTTCATTTGAACAAACTTGAACCCCCTTCACCCAACCATGCTTTATGGCAAGTTTCGTTGAAATTGGCCCAGTGGTCCTGGAGGAGAAGTGGAAAATTTGAAAAGTTTACAGACCGACTACAGACAAAATGTGATCAGAAAAGCTCACTTGAGCTTTCAGCTCAGGTGAGCTAATAATGCAAAAAGTTGGTTATAGTGGATGGTTTCAAAGAATGTTGAATTATAAACTTTTTGTTCTCCACATCCACACACATAATCACTTACTATGAACTCACCTTGATCTTGATGACTTAGATCTTGATCTACTTGACCTTGATCTACTCCTGGAAGATTTTGATCTTGACCTAAAATAAAATATGCTTTTATTCTCCTTAAATTTTCATCTATTAAATTCATTAAAAAGATATGTTATTGTAAATCATTTACCATACAATCCTTTTTTGTTGTCTTCAAATAATTGATGATGTATGTACTCAATAAAAATAAAACTTAAGTTATTTTACTGACATCAATTAACTTGTCAAATAATGACTATCTACATGTATGAGTGTATACCTTGATCGTGAAGATGAATAGGATCTTGACCTAGATCTTGAGTGACTGGCACTACTGACTGTCTTACGCGGAGATCCAGAAGACATTCTAGTATCTCCAGATCGCTTGCCATTTTTCTCCTTTTGGGGAGATTCATTAACTGTCTTTTCACTGAAAGATTTACATTTTTCTGGTGATTTACATTTAGACTGTGATTTCTGTGGAGTTCTTGATCGAGATCTAGATGCAGATGAGTATCTTCTTTTTCGTCTCTTCTTTTCTTTTTTCTTCTTACTGAAAATAATCAAAAACTATCATGTGAATTAATGCCAAGAGAGAGTTACTCATTCTAGTTCATAACCTTACTTGCTCAGAAATTCAAAACAGCAACTTACCATTTGAAACACATACATGTACATGTGTATCTTGATCAAGGCATGTTTATCAATTTTAACTGAATAGCCTCATAGTATGTATCTATAGCTTAAGTCTTATTGTACACTCTACAAATGCAGATGTCGGTATTCATAAAAATAAGTGACACCGACCATGTCTGTGAAGACTCGCTAACACTTAATTGTGGAGGAAGGGCAGGACCCTGGAGCACACCCTCTTCATCACTTTCTCCTCCAAAACTTGTTATAAACTCCACTTTTGTCTTCTTGGGCTCTTCAGGTGAACGAGAGCGGGATCTTGATGATGAAGACTTTCTAAACCCCCCCAAAAAACAAAAAAAAACGAAGATTAATGTTAATCATGAAAAACAAATGATTCTGTAATGAAATAAAAATCTAAAAAATAATATAATACACACCTTTGATATGGTTCATATTTTGGACTATCTCTTGCAGCATAGCTAGAAAAGAATTGCAAGATATTAAATACTAGTCAAAAATTTCCAGTTTAGAGAGGCAGTTGGTTTTATCAAGAATTGAAAAGGACAATGTCTTGTGTCCCTTTTCTCAGGAAAAACTAAACATACACTATCATTTATCACTGAGTGCTAATGCCACATGTTGACTCTTCTGAATGACCAGACATGTTTGAGACATGCAGGAGATACATGTAATTTTATAAATGCTGAAAAAATTCACTATAAGGAACTTGCAGGGTTGAAATGTAAAAAGTGACACATTTTATTTTTAGAGCATATCATGTTAAAGAAATTTCTGGTACTATAAATAGATGTAATTGTTACTACCTCAGAAGAGAACAGAATATTTACCTTGGTGGGCTGAGTTTCCTGCCAGCAAGCTTCTTCTCTTTATAAGCTCTTCTTTCTCTTCTCGACTTCCTTCCCTGTTATTGTTTAATATATGCACATTGGTAAATGAAGAGTATTAAATCTTACTGGTATGTTGACTTGAATTTTCATTTAGAGCACTTATGACAAGGTAAAAAATTTCACTGAGGAATGAAGTGGGTTGATCACAAGATCAAATCATGTGAAGCCTGAAGAACTCCTTAGATCTGGGCTGAATTCAAGATTGTACCTGCTATGTAGAGCTATGATCATGTCTTGAATGATATGCTAGACTACTAGATCATAGCTCTAAGCCTAGCCGCTATGTAGGGATAACACGCATTAATTCATACAGTGGATTCAACAGATCACAAGCAGCTAGCATAGCTGCTAAGCTATCTACAATCTTGAAAAAGCCCTGTTTACATAGCAACCCACTACATTTCCCGGTGAAATTTCTGAGATTGCTATTTTTTCCATATTTATACAATTATTATAAACGTTCCACTGCATGTCGTAGAATAAGACAAAATGGTGCAAGATGTAAACTGGCTTGGAGAGAAGTTATGCTTTGACTTCAGAATTTAAGGGGATTGACACTAGAGATCAAATGTTTTCTGATGGGTGTGGTGTTCTCATTTTTGATGAGCAAATTGCTGATTTTGAATATCAGCATTCCAATGGTTGCTAATGGATGAAAATGTACAAAATTTGTATATTTTAAAGTTACCAGTACCATATTTACTTACAGCAAACTGTGCCTTTTCCTCTTCCAACATTTTTGCTTGACGTATTTCCTCCATTTCCTCTTTGTCTCTTGATAACCAGCTATAGATAACATTACTTTTAATAGTTCATACCATCAATACTGTACTTGAAAATTGAATTTTCAAAAACAAAAAGTTATATGCTCTTGGTTCCATAGTTTTGCATAACTTTAATACAAATTTTGAAGATTACCAGACAAAGTCCTCATCCTTCATCCCATACGTCTGCGCACACTGGTTCAGCAAGGTCTTTTGTTCATTTGTCAATGTGTCAATGTCCAGAGTAACATCTAAAACATTAAGGTTTTTGATTCACACTAAAACCTGGATTCTAAAAATAGATTTTTCAGGCACACTAGCTGTAGTGAATGAGAACAGCAGGAGTGTATGTTAGGTAGTATTTGTTGGTCAATGATAAATAAACTTCAGATGGGAAGATTAGATCCGCCTAACATGCTTGCACATACTCGTATATTCATACGCAGTATTTGTACATGCACTGTACAGATATTTAATCGAATTTTTCTTTAAACTAGAGGCCCACGGGCCTTATAGGTCACCTGAGTATCATGTATCAACTTTGCCCTGAGCCCTGCCCTAAAACCAGAACCTTGACCCAGGGGGCATAAAATTCACAATTTTGGAAGAGGCACTCTTACTCATCATAACTATATTCTTTGTTCATTGGCTTAATACCCAGGAGAAAAGGAGAAGATTTTCAAAGAATCATTGCATTTTTTAAAATGTAATCATTAGAGCCCCCCCCCCCCCCCCTAAAACCAGAACCCCTGACCCAGGGGCCATGAATTTCACAATTTTGGAAAAAGCAACCTTGTGCACCTTTACCATGTACTTAGTTTGTTTAAATAATACCCAGGAGAGAGAAGAAGATTTTCAAAGAATTAATGCATTTTCACTATATAATCAATAGAGCCCCCCCCCCTCTAACACCAGAACCCCTGACCCAGGGGCCATGAATTTCACAATTTTGAAAAAGGCATCATTACTTGTCCTGCCATGCACTTAGTTTGTTTAAATAATATCCAGGAGCAAATAGAAGATTTTTAAAGAATTAATGCATTTTCACTATATAATCAATAGAGCCCCCCCCCCCAAACACCAGAACCCCTGACCCAGGGGCCATGGATTTCACAATTTTGGAAAAGGCATAAATGCTTGTCATAACCATGCACTTAGTTTGTTTAAATAATACCCAGGAGCAGAGGAGAAGATTTTCAAAGAAATAATGCATTTTCACTATATAATCAATAGAGCCCCCCCCCCCCCCCCCACACACACACACCAGAACCCCTGACCCAGGGGCCATGAATTTCACAATTTTGGAAAAGGCATAAATGCTTGTCATAACCATGCACTTAGTTTGTTTATATAACACCCAGGAGCAGAGGAGAAGATTTTCAAAGAATTAATGCATTTTCACTATATAATCATTAGAGCCCCGCCCTAACACCAGAACCCCTGATCCTGGGGCCATGAAATTCACAATTTTGGAAGAGGCACTCTTGCTCATCATAACTATGTACTTAATTCATCGGCTTAATACCCAGGAGCAGAGGAGAAGATTTTCAAAGAATTAATGCATTTTCATTATATATTCATTAGAGCCCCGCCCTAACACCAGAACACCTGACCCTGGGGCCATGAAATTCACAATTTTAGAAAAGGCACTCTTGCTCTTCATAACTATGTAATTATTTCATCGGCTTAATACCCAGGAGCAGAGGAGAAGATTTTCAAAGAATTAATGCATTTTCACTATATATTCATTAGAGCCCCGCCCTAACACTAGAACCCCTGACCCAGGGGCCATGAAATTCACAATTTTGGAAGAGGCACTCTTGCTCATCATTACTATGTACTTAATTCATCGGCTTGATACCCAGGAGCAAAGGAGAAGATTTTTAAAGAATTAATGCATTTTCACTATATAATCATTAGAGCCCCACCCTAGCACCAGAACCCCTGACCCTGGGGTCATGAATTTCACAATTTTGATAGAGGGCTCTATGCTTATTACAATCATGCCAACAGTTTCACTGCTTGATGTCCAGGAGTAAAGAAGAAGATTTTTAAAGATTGCATAAATTTTGATGGTTTTAGCCCCACCCCTCAGGCCCCAGGGGGGCAGGGGCCATGAATTTCACAATTTTTACTCCCCTTCACCCATAGATGCTATATGCCAAAATTGGTTGAAATTGGTTCAGTGGTTCCAGAGAAGAAGCTAAAAATGTTCAAAAGTTTACGACCGATTGACGATGAACGACGTACGACGAACGACGACAGACAAAAACAGATAGCAATAGGTCACCTGAGTGACTCAGGTGACCTAAAAAACTGAACACATAAAGAATGTTACAATATGAAATTTTATACTGTTTATACCTCCTAAGTTTAAGCAATCACTCAAACAAATGCATTTTTTGCTAGAACTATCTTATTTGGTGTATGAATCACCTAGATGAATGAGTGATAATTTTTACACTTACAGCTGTGATACCTATGAGTCGCTCTGCGAGCCGACTCAAAAATCAGATATGCATTTATAGGTTCATATTTACAAAAAATTAAGTTCATTAGAAAGATAAGTACTTGATTCTTGATTACAATAATTTTTCTCGAAATTTGTTTTATAAAATAACAATGCCACAGTTGAATAACTCTAACCAATATATATCAAGTATCAGTTTTGGATAACATATCTCAAAGTTTCTTTGAAACTGAGCTAAAAGCAAATTGTGACAGATGGAAGGTAAGAGGGACCCAAGATGGACATGACAAACACTATTTATGGTGGGGCATAAAAAAAATACAACAAAATGAACAGATTGAATCATTGTGTAAATCACTATTTCATCTACACCTGGATAAAATTCTACAACTTCCATTAACTGAATATATTGAATTACTTCAACCCTTCCTTTACCTAGATCCATTGCTTCTACATCTATGTCAGAGTCCTCGTCTTCACTCTCTCCCTCCTCTTTTTTGTCAGGGGTTGGTGTGCTGTCTTCATATGTGTAACCTATTGCTGCCTTCCTCTCTGCCAGTCTAAACATTCATTGAAATATTTACATCTGCATCTTAGTTCACATTAGAATGAGAAACAAATTATTTTCCATTGTTTTACTTTCAGGGGCTTAAGTTATCTCAAAAAAGAATGGTCATCAATATTACTGGACTTTTTAAATATGAAACTATACTGATTTGTAAATTGAGCTTTTCCTAAAAATACATACATGCATCTGTATGTATATTTAAATATATGTACATGTATTAAACTGTGCAGCCAGACTTTTTTTTTTTTATTATCCCCTTTTATTCAAGGGACTTAGAACCAGGTTTGGCTGATATTCGCTAAGCGGTTCTGGAGAAGATGAAAATGCTAAGACAATGACAGCCAACAAATTTCAATTAGAAAAGCTTGGTTGAGCTTTTGGTTCTGGTGAGCTAAAGTCGGTAGCCTTATCTGAATGTCTTACTTCTTTTTCTCATCCTCTGGCCCCTTGTTCACAGCACCATACATTTCATCAATATAAATTTGATGCAAAGCCTGTTCCTCTGAAACTACAAACACAAAGCAAAATACCACATTATAATTATTTTTTAACAATCATGTACAGTGGCGCCGCGTTTATCCGGACGCCATTTATCCGGACTCTTCACCATCCGGACGATATTTTTTGGGAACCGATTTTTTCCACGTTATTTTGACTCATTAATCCGGAAATTCGCGTTCCGTATCCGGACAGTCAATTTCTACTACAAAACATAATAGTTCATTGAAAAATGACTCATTTATCCGGACGGTAATTTTTCAAGAAACGACATTTTCACACTTATCTTGCATTCGTGATAATTGTTGTAAAAACATTGGCCATGCAGTCAGTTTAAAGGCGGTTACCTGTGACCTACAAACAATAGTGTCTATAATTAGCGTGTGTTTACCCCAATTTAATCACACGTTTATCTTTATTATGAATCTCAAAGAATTTAGCTGACACTGTGCATTAATTAAATAATAATCCGTTCAAAATCATATTGCTTACTGTATATACATCGGTAAATTCAGGAGAATTTTGAAGACTTGTAAATAAAATAAACAATAAATAACGAGTGATTTCGTAATGCTCTTTATCATGTCGATTGCTTTAGTTTAAAATACGATGTTCCATCTCTAAAAAACGTAAATGTATTTGAAACGCTTTTTTCCCCACAAGACAGTATAGAAAGGTACATAATTGAAGAAATATCTCTATTTAATGTACTACCGTTTACAAACGTCCATTACATATAAAACTGGCGTTACCTACAGAAGTTGATTGCGTTTTTCAAGGTATTTTTTAATGATCGAAATTCAAACTTAGCGTCTGTAGAAAAAAAATAATTTTGATAATCATGAAGATGGCTAGTGTTTACGAATGTTTTTAATACTTTGTTGGAGTTAGCTTGCAGTGTTCAGTTAATTTTATAGTAACCCTGTGTAATGAATATACGGGGAATATTCAGGATTAGTTTATATTTGAACATTTTCAATGATGATGCTGAACAGTTCTGTCATGTCATATGAGCTTTAATAATTATAATATATGCGAAAAAAACAACAGAAGATCAAAATTTGCTCAAACCATGAAGTCACATGCCAAAGAGAAGGCAAATTAAAAAAGGAGGTCTCGGCATAAAATTGCCCATCCATTTTTTTTTAATTGTGTAAATTACATTTTAATATATTTTTTCATTAATCAATCACTGTTTTTAAAACAATTAACCAAAATATAGTTTAAAAGTTTTTTTTTCTTTGCTGTCACATTTGAAACAAGAATGTACATACATGCTTAGAGAGTGCTTTTTGAGATGTGATTCAATTATCCGGACGATTCATTTATCCAGACGATTTCGTTGGGGTCAGAGCCGTCCGGATAAACGAGGTGCCACTGTACTTAAATATGTTAAAGTTTTGTCTTCATTTCTTTCTTAGTGTACAGGTCTATGTATTTCATTTCTTTGTTTCAGTTAACTTCTAATAACAATATCCAAAACATATTAGAATACTGCAGGTGCTAACATGGTCCATAAAAACTTGTTAGTCTTGTGAAAGTTACAAGTATCCAGGTAAAGGGCTAAATGGAATTTTCAGTCAATAAGCCATTTAGATTTGTACCTCCTGCACTTTCATTTTCAACCAATGTTCGATATCTCTCATAATTTGCTCTCCTCTCTTCTTCCTCTTCTCTCTGACTCAATCTAAAGAAAAAATTATATAAAAAAAACAAAACATAGTTCATGTATGTACATCACTGTGACTGAAATCAATACTTTTTCTTATTATGTAAAAAAAAAAAAAAAATGCATTATAAAACTGAAATGCATTTGTAAAAATAGACAATAGTCTTACATGGGTGGTGCCACAAGATTAAATTTTGGCATAATGTCTAGATGTGCTCTGACATCAAATCTATCAATCATGTTTTCTTTGTCCCCTTGCCAAGGCATCCTGTAAACAAAATTATTATATATGTACAACTTTGCTATCTAACTTGAAAATTTATGCATGTGGATTAAGTATTAAACTATAAACAGTCAAACCTCATTATCTCAAACTTGATGGGGCTGAGAAAAAATCTGAGATATTATGATGATTCAAGATACTGAGGTTGAAATACCAAAAGGAGAAGTAGCTGGGATTTATGACTCACTTAAATATATCCATGGTATTATGGAAATCTATGTTCAAGATACTAACATTAACTTACATGAAATCTTCACACTTATGTATCACTATTAAAAAATGGAATAAAAAATTTATACACAAATCATTAATGTAATCAACAGGGTTCTCATTAACGCAAGAATCTGCCTCCTAGACGCAGCAAAATTACTTGGGACGCAAGGTTCTTAAAAATGATGCGGACGCGGACTCATGATCGTACACGTCCTCGTTAGCGAGAAAATTCGGGTGATTTCAAAAACGGGGAATTTAGATGTTAGGATTTGTCAAAGTAATATTTAATCGAAACCTTCCTGTAAGTATCATAGAGTTTATCCAAGAAACAACTTTTCTTGTACTTATTTCTCTTTTTTTTTTAAACAGGGATTGATCATAAGATATTTCATGTTTATTAGTCCATAGTCATAATAGTGTTGCATACCAAACTCCGACAGCTGTATACACATTGCAGCTTTTTACGAAAAAAAAAAATTTTAAATCTTGAGTGTTCTCTAAATGTAGAAACCATAATTACTGCTTGTATGTATACACAATGCGGCTTGATTATCTCGTGAATTTCGCCCAGTGCAGACAACCGACGGGATTAGTTACGCCTCATTGCAGATGACACCTGTGATTGTATACAGTCAACTTTTGGGTACTTGTTAATTATGCAACAGTTAATTTTAGCTTTATAAATACCAAGTTAATTTTTATGGCAATTGATTACGCATGTATTTTAGAATATGGCTTGAATGCATTACCAGTTTATATACTTGAATATTTTAATATTGCATAAACAAACTGATTAAATGATAAAGATTTTTACTGATGTTTGGATAGAAGGATACTGCAATAATTTAGTTGGGACGCAACATAATTTTTCTGGGATGCATCAAATTAAGCTGGGATGCAACCTTCTCAGAAATCTTGAGTCCTGGGACTCAAGTAAGCAAAATCCTAGTGAGAACCCTGATCAAATTGAGACAAATACAAAGCCAATTTTAAATGTGCATAGAAATATTGGTTTGCTAAATACAAACATGCTTTGTGGGCTCTCTGCTGCAATAGCCACTGCAGGATCTAAATTCACCTTCACGGGACGACCATACACCCTCAAAAACTGGGTGGGATCAAGTTTCTTTAAATAAAAGAGAAGACAAGTAGAATTATGACAACACCATTTTCTGAGATTTGTTTACATTTCAAAACAATAACACACTGATTGAATAAATTGTTCGTGTAAAAAAAATGACTGCTCACTATTTTCTCATAGAATTCTCTTCGTCGATCTGCCCTTTTCTTGTAATCCACCATAAGACCTCTGATTTTCTTCTCCTGCTTCCTGGCTTCATGCCACATTTTTAAGCTATATATTCCCTAACGTTAGGTTTGTACGTAATTCTGAAAATGGAAGGGAAAAAAATGATTTAAGGAACGAATGGAATAAGTTCAGAAAAGTACACTTTACAACACGTATTTAAGATGATCCCAAATTTAAGTAGATATTATATAAACATGTCACATATCTGATATTGTATTTTGATTTGTATTTGCCACGCTGTTTAGATATGGTACCACTTATATTTTTTCCCCAATATACATCTGTACAGTACATTTAAAAAGAACGTTGATTACGCTAATGAGACACGCTTACCCTTCAGATTTTCATATGCTTGGTTATGAGATTTACATACATGTTTTCCTAACCATCTCTGTCTAATATTCCTCTGCACCTTTCAGATTTAGACCGGAAAATTGAGAATCACGTGACATCAACTATTGTGAGGCCTAAAACAAGTTTTGGGTAGTTTTGTATGTCCTAGTTCATGAGCACGTATGAGGGTTAATTCCATTATGTTTGTAAAATTCTACAATCTACGTATAAAAGATAATATATTTTCCATATATTTCTACACTAATATATATAAATAAAAAATTACAGGTTAAAACAAATATGAATTCATTTGGCGTCATAAGAATCGGGTGTGTTATACACTTGTTTGTAAATATTGTCGTCTGCCAAATCTTGAAGGAAGATTCGAATGGCATAAAAGGCAAGACACACCCTTTTTGGTTTTATTTTATCAGTGTATTTTTATCTATGTTGGTGAATATTCATGTTATTGTTCTCCTCTTGAATTTTTCTTCTACGAAATGAAAAACTATTGTTGAATGTATAACGTAATGCGCTCATTTCGAGGAACTTTCGTTCAGAGCACGCAAGAAAAGGGGTGCATTCCGAGGCCTAAAATCTAAAGAAAAATAAAATATAAAAATATTTTTTCACTCAAACTGAACACAGAAATTGTTGATTACAATCTATAAAATTAAGGTCTAGTCCTCACGTAGATAGCTACCTTGTTGAGGGGACGACCATTTGAGTCGGGGGGGGGGGGGGCAAAATTTTTCGAGTCAGATTATTAATTTTCATGCCAGTCAAGGATATGCTATTCATTTTCAAGTAATATATAAAGTACCTTTTAACGAGTGTATCTTCAGAAATCAGACGAGTCTGAAGTCTTCAGTGAAGATGCACGAGTTAAAAGGTACTCAGGTATTGAGTTACCCATGATCTATCAATTTCACGCGATTCAACTATATTCTCGTGCACTGAGTTAGCCATGATCTATCAAAATTTCAGCATACCATTTTATATGACCAATGAAAAAAGAGTATGTGATTCGAAAAGTATAGTGCGCTGTATATTCTTGAGTTTCTACCTTGTCCATTCAAGTCTGAACGCCATGGATGACTTTTGTGATTTTATGCTATTGCAATTCTTAGAAACGGTGGCAATCGAAATTATGATGGAAAATTTCTTAGGTCAGTTAGGAACCAAATACAGGTTGAAGATTATTTGGGAAGTATGACGTTTGATCTACCGGAATTAAAAATTGAACCTATTATGAATTTCGATACAAGAGATATTTTAGACATGATATGGGAGACTGAGATGAGTGCGTCAATTTCACCAGTCCCGAGGTCGAGACAAAGACGACAAATGAACGGTTTGTACAAGTGTCCGATCCTGAAATTCAGCATTTGATAGACTCTTAAAAAAATCCTAACACTCGTAAATATACCAAATGGGCAATTTGAACGGTCAAGGAGTGGCGTGCAGCACGGAAAAATGTCCACTTTTGACGGAGGTGAACAGCAATTCTCTAAATTACTGGATACAGCAATTTGTGTTGTAATTAGAAAACAAGGAATATCCACCTCGTTCCCTGTACTACATTGTTTTTTTTTTTACGCTTCAAGTTCACGAAAGGAAAACATTCATTTAAAAATGTGTTGTGTGAATTCCATTTTTGATTAAAAAATTGACGTGCAAAATTTAATTTTTTTTAGGAAGGTATATAACTTCACTATGTTTAAATGAGTTTGTAGTTTGCTTATAAAGTCGACTATTTTGTTTATCATGTTTATATTCTTTTTCTTTATCAAGGTCAAGGGTCATTGGAATTGTTGCATCATTACCCTGGCGTGTTCTATTAATCTATCTTGATGGAGTATGGTTGTTAGAGCACCTGATTTTGAATTTAATATATTTCCTTCTTAAAAGTTTTAGCTTAACAATCAGACATCGCACACAGATTTGGGGCCGATTTTGTTACGTTACAAATTTAAATAACCAAAACAGTGCCGTTTAAAAAATGCAAAAGGTTGATGTACAGGTTTTGGTATACACTTTCCATCTTACATATTGTGAACATGTGCTTCAAAATACAGATGCAAAATGTACAAGTTTTATTAGTTTTAAAATATTTATATTTTCATTCACCTTGTGAGTGTCTTTATTGTCCCCCGCTTTTGCGAAAGCGAGGGGACATTAAAAATCATTCGCCTGTCAGTCCGTCTGTCAGTGTTTTTTGTTTGTTTGTTTTTATTTTTGCTAATCAAGTTGCTACTACTGCTAAACTTAAATGTGCAAACGTATATTAAACATGTTTTGTTTATTACAGAAGATGAAAATTCTGCCGTTTCAATTTGAAGGTACCTACGCAAGAGATGGAGCAAGCGAAAACAAAGAGATTCTACAAGAAACATCAGAGGAGACTGAATTCAACCTCCACGAAATGTTTGATGTCTATGACTATGCTGGAGACGAGGTTCCAGATGTTACGGATTGCGACTTGTTTTGTCCGGAATCTCTCTCCGACGAAGTTGAACACAATGTCCCGTTCTCTTTAGTAAGTTCACAGGAGTCGGACAACATCTCAGAAGGCATTTTTTATCCACCAGTTGAAAACAACCCACCTATGATCTTTAACGATATGGGTGAGGATCTAAACCGGCGCATATCAATGGAAGATTTGAGCCAATCAGAAAACGAGACGGAGGACAATATAATGGAAGAACAAGTTGGGATTCAAAGTGTAAATGTTCTCAGAAGGACCCCTTCAGAAAATGCGGAAGTTTTTATAGGGAGCGTCATACAGAATAGGGATCGACGTGTTCCAGATTTGAATGGATCGTTTTACGATTCCGACGAGGAGAGAATTCTGAGTTCGTGCTCTACCTCTGACCAAGTTGTTCCAAACTTTTACATGGAAGAATAGTATTTATTTTTTTTAATTCGCGGGACCTGTCATTGTTGTTCAGAATAGAGATCAACATGTTTCAGATTTTAAATGAGAGAACTCCTAGTTCGTGCTCTATCACTGATCCCAAATTTTACATGGAGGAATAGTTATGTTTTAATTGGCGGGACCTGTCATTGTTGTTCTTCACTGTTATTGCTTCTTATGATGTTACTATATCTTTATTTATTGTTGATTATACATAATTTATTTTCTATTTATAAGAAATGCACTTGAATGCAAGCATTGTTGACAATGTTGATCATCCTTGTTGGTATGAAATGTGCATGAATGCAAGAATTACTGACAATGTTCATCATCCTTGTTGGTATGAAATGTGCATGAATGCAAGAATTACTGACAATGTTCATCATCCTTGTTGATACTGTTAGATATTGTTTTTGTTGATTACTTGTGTAACTTTATTAATGCATTCAAACATGTGTGATACCTAGTCTTAATCATGCAATAAAGTTCAATGACCCCTTTCACCTAAGAATTTTACTTTTTTCTATGGGTTTTCTTTCTTACAGACTTCTTACCAGTATAGAGAGCAAAGACTGACCAAAAACCGGATTCCCATCTACTTTTGAAATACCCCCACGCAACTAGTTGCGGGGGTATTAATAATGTTTTTGACCCGTCCGTCAGTCAGTCAGTCCATCAGTCCTGTTTTTTTTTGTCGGCGCAACTCCTCTTAAACCGCAGCACAGAATTTCGACAAACTTCGCAGATATTTAGGACATATAGTGTGTAGTTGTGCATATTGCCAGGAAATTTCGATTCCATTATTTTTCTTGGAATTTTGGCACTTTTCAACTTAGATTTTTGGCCATATCTTGAATATAGAGATGAACAGTTTGTCAGCGTAACTCCTCATAAACCGCTGCACAGAATTTCGTCAAACTTTGCAGGCATTTAGGACACAGTGTGTAGTTGTGCTGCTTGTGCATATTGCCAGGAAATTTCGATTCCGTTATATTTGGCTTAGAGTTCTGGATATTATTAAAGAAACTTTCTAGCTATACGTAATAAGGAAATCCACTGGAATCAGCTTTTCTAATGAAATTTTATGTGAAATATTTTATGACCTTAAAAGACCCCTTTTGTTTTTGAGATTAAAATATTAATGATTCAACACACACACACCCTCACCCACCCCCACACACACAATCTTGGATAGAAGCACACAAAAAGTTCTCCCTCCCCCCTCCCCACACACATACCTCAAATTAGTGCTTTGCCTTAAATAATTTCATAAGTACAGTATATAAACAAAATTATTTGACTACATCATAATTTTGTTCCATCAATTATTTAAATGTATAAATTGTCAAACGTTGGACATGGACTTGCACTCATTAACACATCGAAATCACTGAGCAATTTAAATAACTGTTTGTCAGCATAATTCCTGCACTGTAAAAATGTGTTTAGATGTTAGACACATTTCTAAACACAATCTTGTCACACTTTTTTTGATGCATTTAAATTCTAAACATGTTTAATTTCAATACGCGTAATGAAAAGTGTTTTGAACCTAGTAAATGCTTACATGTTTAGATTTTAAACACAATTCTGAACAGTTTAGATTTGCGATTAGAAATTTTTAAACAAGGATCTGCAAGAAAACTGAAAATACAACAAGCGTGTCCATTATAAGTTTTATTTACTTATAAACATCATATTAAAATGCTAAAAAAGACCTAACACACAATAAAGTGTTCTCACGGAATCATCGTTCGGCGGAACTCCTTTCTCCTGTGAATGTTTTTCATTTTTTGTACAGTCTTTTAGAAGTTTTGACATACCATCCTTTTTGCATCTAAAGAGTTAGTAACACCCAGCTGTTGAATTGTCTGTATTTTAAGGCAGTAGCACAGTACGAAGTTAATACTGTAAAGACTCCAGGTACAAATGTATGGTGTGCTTCTTGCAGTGTGATGGAATACAGTTCACTATTTTAAATCCGTCGGGATGTAAACAATACAGCAGAATATCTGAATAATCTTGAAAGTATTTTCTATGGTAGTATGTATAATTCATCTGTCACATCCATTAACAGAAATGAATTTTGAAGTTCTTTCTCTCGGCTATCCAATAACGTTAACCTGTAAGGAAGGACGTATGCATTTATGTAACAGTATGGGCCCTCACTGCATGAAGATGCTACAGTTTTACATTCATTTAACTAGTCTATTGAGCATATAATTAAAATGTTTTAATCGATATTTATGCATCTTTAGATTCAATATTTACTCTAGTGAATACATGATATGGCATCCAAAGACATTCTGGATATAAAAAGCAATTAATGTTGTTTACCTTGCTCTTCATGTAAATTTTATTTAAACAAAAGCATACATACCCCTCTATAGAAGTAACAAGAAGCCTTTCATGTGTATTTCACTATTTCTGCGATCACTGTCACTCAAGTTTCACCAGTTTCCTTGAAAATATCGTTTACTATTTTGTTGTGACTTTCTTTGTTTCGAAACCGCGCTTATTAACGTTCAAATATATATCATTTCCGGGAAGATAACTCTGCACTTGACCGAATTTAAAACAAAAAACATGTTCAATATCTAAATGCGTATAGATTTTAAATACATTTAGACGTAAGTGTTTTGTAGTTAAACACAAAATCAAACACGTTTAGATCTAAACACGTAATGGAAGTGTTTATATTTCCTAAGCACAATTTTTACAGTGCGAATGTACTGAATTTCCTGAAACTTTGTAGGTATTTCAGACATAATGTGTAGATTTGTATATTACCAAGAAACTTTGATTCCATTTTTAGCTCACCTGAGCTGAAAGCTCAAGCGAGCTTTTCTGATCACCCGTTGTCCGTCGTCCGTCCGTCTATATGTAAACTTTTCACATTTTCAACTTACTGCAATCTGATTAAAATCAGATCCTCGATGCTCCTTTTTTAACGATATGTCGTAAGCGACATATCGTTAAAAAAGGAGCATCGAGGATCTGATTTTAATCAGATTGCAACTTATTGTCAAGAACCACTGGGCCAATTTTAACAATAGTTGGTACAAAGCATCCTTGAGTGAAGAGGAGATTAAATTGTTAAAATGAAGGACCAAGCACCCCTACAAGGGGAGATAATCAAAAAAGACCAAAAGGTTGGGGTCATTAAAAATCTTCTTTTCAAGAACCAATAGGCCAGAAAAGCTGAAATATATGTGGAAGCATCCTGGGGTAGTGTAGATTTTATTTTGTTGAAATCATGACCCCGGGGGTAGGACAGGGCCACAATAGGAAATCCAAGTTTTACATTGAAATATATAGAAAAAATCTTTAACAATATTCTTCTTAAGAACCACTGTTCCAGAAAAGCTGAAACTTATGTGGAGGCATTCTGGGGAAGTGTAGATTATAAATTGTTCAAATTATGACCCCGAGGGTAGGACGGGACCACAAAAGGGAATCCAAGTTTTATATTGGAATCTTTAAAAATCTTCTTCTCAAGAACCACTGGGCCAGAAAAGCTGAAACATGTGGAAGCATCCTGGGGTAGTGTAGATTCTAAATTGTTCAAATCATGACCCCCCGGGGGTAGGGCAGAACCACAATAGGGAATCCAAGTTTTACATTGAAATATAGAGGAAAAATCTTTAAAAATCTTCTTCTCAAGAACCACTGGACCAGAAAGGCTTAAACCTACGTGGAGGCATCCTGGGGGAATGTAAATTCTAAAATGTTGAAATTATGACCCGGGGATAGGACGGGGCCCCAATTATAGGGAATCCAAGTTTTATAATGAAATCTGTAGGAAAAATCTTTAAAAATCTTCTTCTCAAGAACCACTGGGCCAGAAAAGCTGAAACCTATGTGAAGGCATCCTGGGTAAGTGTAGATTCTAAATTGTACAAATCATGACCCCTGGGGGTCCAAGTTTTACATTGTAATATATAGGAAAAATCTTTTTAGCTCACCTGAGCTGAAAGCTCAAGTGAGCTTTTCTGATCACCCGTTGTCCGTCTTTTTCTTCTTTTTAAGAACCACTGTTCCAGAAAAGCTGAAACTTATGTGGAGGCATCCTGGGGAAATCCAAGTTTTATGTCCAAGTAGATTTTAAATTGTTCAAATCATGACCCCCGGGGGTAGGGTAGGGCCACAATAGGGAATCCAAGTTTTCCATTGAAATATATAGGAGAAGTCTTTTCAGCTTTTCTGGCCCAGTGGTTCTTGAGAAGAAGATTTTTAAAGATTTTTTTCTACATATTTCAATGTAAAACTTGGATTCCCTATTGTGGCCCCTCCTTACCCCTGGGGGCCATGATTTGAACAATTTAGAATCTACACTACCCCAGAATGCTTCTACATAAGTTTCAGCTTTTCTGGCCCAGTGGTTCTTGAGAAGAAGATTTTTAAAGATTTTTTCTACATATTTCAATGTAAAACTTGGATTCCCTATTGTGGTCCCGCCCTACCTCCGGGGGTCATGATTTGTACAATTCAGAATCTACACTACTCTAGGATGCTTCCACATAAGTTTCATCTTTTCTGGCCCAGTGGTTCTTGAGGAGAAGATTTTAATGACCCCACCCTATTTTTGTCTTTTCTTGATTATCTCCCTTCTAAGGAAGCTTGGCACTTCATTTTAACAATTTAAACTCCCTTCAGCCAAGGAAGCTTTGTACCAATTTTGGTTAAAATTGGCGTAATGGTTCTTGAGAAGTTGAAAATGTGAAAAGTTTACAGACAGCCGCACGGACGACGGACAACGGGTAATCAGATCATGATTTGTACAATTTAGAGAATCCAAGTTTTACATTGAAATCTGTAGGAAAAATCTTCTTCTCCAGAACCACTGGGCCAGAAAAACTGAAACTAATGTGGAAGCATCCTGGGGTAGTGTCAATTCTAAATTGTTCAAATCATGACCCCTGGTGGTAGGACGGGGCCACAGTGGGGAATCCAAGTTTTACATTGAAATATATTTAGAAAAATAATTAAAAACCTTCTTCTCAAAAACCACTGGACCAGAAATACTGGAATTTATGTGGAAGCATCCTGGGGTAATGCAGATCCTAAATTGTTCAAATCATGATACCCAGGGGTAGGGCGGGGCCACAATAGGGAATCCAAGTTTTACATTGAAATATGTAGTAAATATCTTAAAAATCTTCTTCTCAAGAACCACTCAGCCAGAAATGCTGAAACTTATGTGTAGCTTCTAAATTGTTCTAATCATGATCCCCGGGGTTAGGGAAGGGCCACAATAGGGAATCCAAGTTTTACATTGAAATATGTAGAAAAAATCTTTAAAAATCTTCTTCTCAAGAACCACTGGGCCAGAGAGACTGAAATTTATGTGGAAGCATCCTGAGGTAGTGTATATTCTAAATTGTTGAAATCATGACCCTCGGGGTAGGGTGGGGCCACGATAGGGAATCCAAGTTTTACATTGAAAGCTGTAATAAAAATCTTTAAAAATCTTCTTCTCAAGACCCACTGGGCCAGAAAAGCT